GTTTCGGTCGAGTTTCGGCAAAAAAACGAGTTTCGGTTTAGTTTCGGTTTCGGCGGCAAACCTGCCGAAACTACGACCGAAACCGAAACTGCGTTCGGGAGTTCTCGCGCTCTGCTCGGTCATGTTCGGCGCGTTAAATTCCATCCAAGCGAAGTAGATTAGTAGACATAGATAAAAAAAAGCATGAATAATCTTCAAAAGAAAAATGAGTCTAGTCTACTATACTTACTCAAATAAACATCTCACCTATTTTAAGTATTTTTAAGACGCAATTAAAGTATTTCCTTAAATGAGGGGTTGTTATGTTGATTTTGATTTGACTATCAATAAGTGAAAATGTCGAAGACTGCAGAGCTATGTGATTTAAAGATAAAAAAATAAAACTGACTGATTATAATAGCGTTTTCTTTATTTTTCTCTCAAAACATGATCCTTATAAGGAAGTTTCGGTTTCGGTTTCGGTTTCGGCCGAAACTGAGACCGTTGCCGAAATTCGGTTTCGGATTCGGTCGTGTAAACCAGTGTCGGTCTGACACTAAAGTATGAATAATACTTAATTTGACCATTTTTTTGTTATTGAATTACATAAAAACGTATTTTAAAGTAATACTTCTAAAGATAAAATATGTTGGAAAACATAAATCCTGAAAATTCTCGTACTCTCTCTTTCTTTCACCAATCGTTAGTTATTCGTTGTAAAGGTATAGAGATCGCAAAAGAAGTTTCACTTCTTCAACGTGTACTGAGTTGCACGTGTTGTTTTGTTTTTTTTTTTTTGGAGTTACATTTTTTAACGTTTTAAATGTAAAAGTTGCGCTCACAGCAGCATGTAAACGAAGCTAGGCGCAATTGTCATCCTTCGGCATTGATCGATTAAATAAACAAATATGTAATTAGGATTGTGTATAAGGTACTTGTATAGCGTGGACATATATAGGTACCTAAATATCTCTTTCTATTTAATTGGGGTTGTTTTTAGTGGATCGTTGTCTAATCTGCAGGCGCCTTTATTGTTCCGGATTGTTACTATTTTTTTTTGTCTCTTTCAGATTGAAATTTTGTACAAACGCGTGCCTTTGCCGGACCACTACACCCTAATAGACATAGCGTACATTTATTCGTGGAAAAGGGTGAGTCAGCTGCTCTGTTAGTAGTTTCTCCATTGTTTGTCTTTCCGCTCTGCGCTTTCTGTCCACCTATCTTTCTTCTTCGTTCCGTTATTATTTGCTCTTTTTCTCTTTTTCCTTTTCTGTTCTCTCACTCTGAAGTGAAACGATTGTCGTGTTTTACGTATCTCCAGTTTGTACAATAGTGCAGGAATTACATCTACGGGTCGTGATCGAAAAGTCAGGGTATGTTTTGTCAAAACAAGTCAGAATTGCTTAGTCTTTTTACCAGTGGCGTAACAGTAGGGCAAAATGCCACCGGTCCCCGGTCTGAGAGGCCGTGAAGACTGGAGAAACCTAACATTAATTACAAAATTTGGTAAAAATATTAATTTTATATTTAAGTTAGGTCCTCAAGAACACAGATGTTCTTGCATTTTAAATGCAAATACAAAATAAAAATACCTATTTTTGTCTTGCATTTAAATATTTTTTTGAGAAAAGCATTTTGTATTTTAGAAAATACCACAAACGGCGCGGTAAACGCCATCTGTAGTACGANTCCAAAAAGATCGAAATCGCGATCCGCGTCTGGCAGTTTCGACAGAATACAGACCACTTCGAATTATTTTATTCGATTATGGTAACGTGCCTATCACGTTGAGGTTAGCTACGCCGGGATTCGTTTCAACAAGTAGATATCCGTATATTTAAATGGACCTTGTTGGAGCATACGTACCTAATCCTAAAATGTAGCATCGTACTACAGATGGCGTTTACCGTGCCATTTGTGGTATTTTCTAAAATGCGCTGTCAAGACAGCAGGTAAAAGTTGGTCTGTGTTCTGTCGGAGATCGAAATCGCGATCCGCGTCTGGCAGTTTCGACAAAATACAGACCACATCGAATTATTTCATTCTATTTTGTATTTTATTTAAAATACTTTTCCAAACGTATTTTCTATTTGTAAATGCAAAATACATTTTTGCCATTAAAATTTTTGCTAGTATCACCTATCAAACATTATATAAAATGATAAATGGAGTTGCTCAGATTGGCCAATAAAGGTATTAAAAGCTTAGAAAGGGAACAGAAACGTTCCAGGAATACCTTGTAAGTCCAAAAAATTCTAAACTCCTTGGAAGTGTTTGCATTTTGTATTTAACATGTTCGTAAGAAAGTGATATTGCTCAATTTTAACATGTATCCACTAGTTCAACATTTGGCCGCGGCATTTCTTTGATGGTGATACTCGGGAAATCCCCGCTTTCTATTTTTGAAAGACGTTTATGCGGTACGCTAGAGTCAAATGAGTACTAAATTTTTTAGAAATTTATTAGGGTCTCGAGAAAACTTAGTACTTAAGGATAGATATCTACTTCGTAATTTATAAAGTTGAAACTACAATGTGAAGCTTTTTATATTAAGGGAGGGCCTCAGGTGGTATAGTTACGCCACTACTTTTAAATTGAGCGAAATATTGTTTGATGTTTCAGTTTTCTTGTGTTGATAGGTAAATTCTAAAAGACGTAATTTATTTGATTTGATAAATTGTGTAATTTCGATTTTCATTTCTAATCAGTAGTAAATATTGGTAAATTCTTCTGATAGTGATAAACTTACCTACTCTGTTTCCATTTCGCATGCTTTACCCTGCACCCCTTGATGAAGAAACCTCTAAAACATTAACTCGTAAGGTTTTGAAGAAGAACATTTTCTTCAGTTGCGCATTTTTATTTTCAGAACGAACCGATGAAGTTCTTTTTCAAAATAATAGATTTAGATACGAATATGGACGTTTCGGAAGACGTTGAGATTTCGTCCTTCCCCATGAAAATCAACAAACCTCCGAAACCAAAAAGGAAAACGTTAGATAAAATCAAGACAACCGGTGATAATAAAAAACTGAATTTCGATAGCGTCAATAGTGATAATGCTAAATGTGATAACAAAATTGATAAAGACACTTCAGTTTTACCGAAGACAATAATAACGAATAACGATAACGGCATCGAATCTAGTCAAAAGTTAGACGAAAAATCTGAAAATAAAATTGAAGATAAACTGAAACCATCGACGAAACTTGAAATTGATTTGCGATGTACCGAAGGAATCGCGAAATTGGACGAAACGAAACGTAAATCGGATGAAATAAAAATTATCCGAAACGGTGAAGATGATTCGAACAAAGATAAAACAACTGAAGAAGTAAAAGTTGTCCAAAACGTTCAAGATGATTTGAAAATGGATAAAACGACTAAAGAACTAAAAGTTGTTCGAAACGTTCAAAATGATTTGATAAAACTAGACAGCCAAAAACTGTCTAAGGAGTACACAAAGATTACTTTGAACCGTAATAGTAACATGGAGATAATAACGAAGGTTCAACAGGTGTCCAACAAAAATGGGCAACCAATAGGACTGAAGATCACCAAGCAATTGGTGAAGAAGCCTGTGATTGATAGTAATAAAACAATTAATAATAAATTAACCGAATCGAAAAGGAAGTTATCGCCAAAACATAACAGTATACAAAATCATAAGAAGAACGTATTGGGTATAGAAGATAAAGTGGAAATAAATCCATCATGTGATGTTAAAAATCACAGTCCTGCCAATGACTTCACATCACCTCCTGAATCCTCTTCCGAGCCACTAGAAGTCGATCCGGAAAAATCAAAGTTTCTTGAATCGTTTGAATTGACTGCCAGAAGTTCTCTATCACCACAAAAGCGAAACTCAATCACCAACCACAAAACTACCCCAGAATCCTTTTCAAAGGATTTGGAAATCCAAAAATGTAACTTAGGAGGTCCATCGTCTGCCCAAAAGAGAAAACCCTCCAGTCCCATGAAACACGAGAGGGCGTCAAAGAAACAAAAGTCCTTGGCCGGCAAAACGTCGCCAAACAAACGAAAGCCCGAATCGAAAAACATCTCAAACCCTACGGTCCGTCAAATGGTGTCAAATGTTCACCAGAGTGCAACGAACGTGTCGAAAATCGTGGAACAATCATCCCCGAAATCGAAGTGTAACAAAACAGATTTACAATCTCTCTTCGACAGTTGCAAAATCAACATCCCCTCGTCGCTTTCAATAACGATCAAAGAAGGCACAGAGGACAAAAATCTACCCCCGGTCAAACCGGTTAAGAACTACATTGAAATTCTGAAGTTGCCCGACACAGAACAAAAGCTTTTGAAAGACTCGAAAGAATTAGATGACGAGTATAGAGAAAGGCCGAAACTGAACATCACAGTTTCTTGTTCAACAAACGGTATCCAAAACGTTCCGAAAGGAGATGGCGAGATCCAAAACAAATTACCAAAAACCACCGAAGAAACCACCAGTACAACAAATACCTCCGTACTTGAAAAAGGCACTCAGAACAAACCTTCGGCGACTACAAAGGTGGTCGCTTCTACTTACATACCAGAGAAGGTTACTACCACCATTCCCATAAAACTTGCCCCGTTGATCGCCAATCAGTCGTTCCAGAAGATGTTCGAAGAATCTATCAAAAAATCTAATTGGTGTATTTCCACCGATGGTGTCGACAAAGAAGAAAAGTCTCCAAAAGAAGACAGTAAACATAAAACGTCTACTATTAGTACAAACGAGACCAGTAACAATAAATTAAATGAAAAAGAGTCCCAAAAGATCGCGTTGGATTTGACGACGGATAGCAACAGTAGTAATTCTTCGAGCAGTGGTCTAATTAATAGCAGCACGAAGAAGAACATCCTAGAGATCGCCACGCAGTTGTACAAGAAATCGAAACTGGAGCAAACAAAATCGGCGGAAGACAGTAGCAAACAAAACAAAACAGCTACAAATAATACCAGTACGTATTCGAGGCATATTTCGGCCACCGCCACACCAAACTACACCCCCAGCAGTATTCCCCTACGTTTGACACAGACTTTATCGAATTTACATTCGGCCAGTTTGGGACTCAACTACACAGTGTCTGTGACTCAAAACAACTCGCCGAAATTGTCTCCCAAAATCAGTGTCCCAAGTCCGAAAAGGAACGGAGACACTTCTAAAGTTCCTACCACAACATCCCCGACTGATTCCAAAGTGAAAACTTCATCCCCAAAGACTGGATCAACGCCAAAACTTAATACCGTATCGCCTCCGTTTAGTTTGTCACCGAAATCTTCCGTTAATTCTTGTGCTAACAGTAGTGACAAGGGTGTAAAAACAACAATAGCAACGGGTAGTGCCGCGGGTGGTCTATTTACATCCGGGGGTTTTTGCATAGTGTCGTCCAAAGGGGACGAACCGGCCGCCAAGGTTCCTAGACTGAGCGCGTCACCGAAAAGCACCTGTTCTTCTTCCACCAGTGACGCTATCAAAATTTCTGCAGCGTCGCCAAAAGCTAAAGATAGTTCCGGAAGTGTTGGTGGTTCTGGTGGTGTTAATAGTCAAAAACAATCGTCGTCTAAAAATGACAGTGGCAGTAGCAACAACAACGGTGGCGCTTCCACCATGAACCCGAATGAGATTTTGGAAAAGTATAACATTCAAAATTTGGCTCAGTTGACCGCGAATTTCAATTTCCCTATAAATCTGGCCATGTTACCACACAATCAACTGGCCGCTCTGCATCAGGCCATGATTCTGAGACACTTCGAGTTGCAAAACAGGCAGAACTGGTTGAATATGAATCCGAGTCCTCTTGTCCAGTACGAAAAATATTTACAGAGTTTGTCCCAGAAACAAGGTCAGATACTGAGCAAAGAGAATTGACGATCGTTGTTGTTGATTATGTATCTGTTTCTAAATAATATTGTCCAGGATAATAACAACGGAGTGTTTTTTATCCTTGTTTACAGGGAACATAGGTATACTTACTACTGTCTAATTTTACTACCACTGTCTACTTCTACGTCCTGTTTTATTATTATTATTATTATTATTATTTAATGCCTATGTGTTTGTGTCATTTATTTATATTTACTGTAGGTATATTTTCTAGGTGCACATTTGTTTATTATTATTATTATTTTCGTAATTATTATTTAATTGGCGTTGATAACAGTACCTTATCGCTACGTCTAATGATAAGGTTAAAAATTGATCGAACCGATTTCGTTTGGGTCCTCTTAAAATAATTTGTCTACTTATTAGTAGTAGACGCATACGAAAAGTATTATTCATAATAGACAACAACTTTTTATTATTATTATTATTATCTATTAATATTATTTACTATTGATAATAATAATTGTCTATCTGTCTGTGTTGCCGTTAAATTTGTGTTATGTTTAACTTTTTTTTCTTGTAAAAATTTTGTAAAAAGTTAGATGTAATAACGAAGTTATGTGAACTGATAATACCTACCACACATACCTGTCCGATCATCCACATTAATTCTTCTTCCTTTTTTAAATTTCCTATAAAAAAATATTTGTTGTTTCTCGCTAGGCATTTAACAACATCACCACCGATTTTATTACTACTTATTATTTTTATTAAAAATACACGGAGTAATAAAGTACATTATTTTCAATGATCTCGGCGATGTTTTTTCTTTCACCTGTTAGATTATTATCTGTGAAAAGTAAGGGTTTACATATAAGGGCGCGTATTAGAAAGGTAAGTGAATGAATAAAGGTAAAGCAACAAAACAAAATGATCTCGAAATAGTTCGTCCGTCTGGCGTTTCATTCATTTGGTGTGTGTGAGTTTGACGAGGGGATTCCCATATCTACGAAAGGTTCTCTTCCATCTCCCCAGGAAGTAGGCACTACCTGAGGGGTTGTTGAGTGAAAGGACTAAAAGCATTTATCTATACGTAACAGAATTTTCACTGCTGAGCATATATATTAATTTAATCTTAATATATCATGGGGAAAGAAAGTAGGTATAATGTGTTAATTATTTAACTTAACACAATGTGTTAATTATTTAACTTAACAAAAGTTCCCCGAATTTATTTTAAGTACCTGCGTTTTGCAGACTTGCTACAAAAAGAAACTTTGAGATCATCAGAAGGACAGTGGATTGACGAAAATATTGAATAGTAAAGGGCCACAATGCAATCCTTGCGGTACCCCAGAACTAATCCGAGAAAAAGCTATTTCTCTTGGTCAAGATATGATTTTTATCATAGATATTTTATTTGGGCAGAAAATTTTCCAGGAATAATCTTCAGGAAATTGAAGAAAATCATTTAGGCATATTCTAAACGCAGTACGTATTCAATAATTTATTCAATGATGTTTTCATCATTCAGATCTCTCATTCAGGTATTCCTTGCCAACGCTGGTGCCCTCTGCCAGTAAAAGTGTCTTATAGGGGACGCTGTCTCACAGTTAAACAAGTTTGAAACGACTCTATTATCCATTTCCTCATAAAATAATGACCAACTCCTTTCTAAGTGAAACAGTTAAACGTTTTAAAGACATCTGCATTTATTTTCAATTTTTGGGCCCAATTGATTGAAAATTAAATTCTGCAAAGGAGTTATAGAACACCATTTCTTGTCTATAAATTTTTCCAGGTTCTTTTTTTTTAATTCACATTAAACGTTGGTACTTTTTAACTTCTTCTGATTTATAATACCCTGATCTTTTTATACTCGGTGGTTTTTCGTAAATAGAAAAATCCAGTAGTTGTCAAAAGTGTTGGGTTCAGAATCGGCAAAGAATTCTAGAGGCTGATTCATACGTAGGCGTGGCATATGAAAAAGCAACCAATCATAGCGTTAAGATGTGATATGCGCAGTCGTTTTCATCCAATACCGTTTGTATGTAGCTCTACTTGGGGTGGGGCATTCAACAATGAGAGGCGTTGACAATTTAAAATGAGGGCGGGCCGATGGTAACCCTTGTTATTGAACCCTTTTGAACATTTTGAGTAGATTATATTCGTCATGGCCTTCGAAAATGTTTAGAACCATTGTCGAGAGGTCGTTGCTTTTGTGTTATAAGTTGTAATGGCCTGACACGGGAGGGAACAGGATCTCAGCAGGCCTTGCTCGTTTTTCAAGCTGCAACACTCATTTGTTATCCCATCCACTGTTAGCTTCCTATGAAGTGTTGATAGGTTTTTTATTCGATTTTTATTGCTCTGAATTTATAGGATTTTATACGTTCCTAATAAATTTATCAAATTCCAGCATTTATTCAGCTTCATAATTGTAGTACATTTTCGTTTTAATTTATTCTGTTGATTTTCAAAACAGTATTCAATTAAATGTGGTAAATTTTCATTAATAATAACTTGGGCGCCAGTAATAAATTATCTAATTTTCCCTTTATAATTTTGAGATTATCTTTTCCCATACAAAATTTTCAAGGTACATACGCAGATTAAACAAAATTGTAGCTGAAGTAACTGTTTTTAATGAATATTATTTATTTAAAACGATGTTTGTGAATTATTTGTTTATTCATAAAATGTCGATAAAAAGCTTATTGCAAAGTTATTAAAGTATTAAGTAAAGTAATAAAGTTATGAAATAATTTTTAAAACTTATTTGCAATAACTTTTATCTTTCACTTCAAAATTAAGATTTAATTTTACGTTAGTTATAATTTAACTCCAAAGTGCTAAATTGTGATAAAAACAAATGATTTCTGCTCGCTTTATTGTCATATTCACTGCAAAAAAAACTTTTTACGAAAACTTTCTGATTATTCCTGGTATATACTTCAATTTTCTTTACGTCCTCTGTATTTTAAATTTAAATTATAACTTGTGGCGCCATCGCGCGGTTAAATACTCGAACACAGCGACATTAGAACATCTGTTTTCACCTGTATAAATGTACTGATACATATGAAATGAAATAATTAAAGGTAAACGGCATTAAAAACCATCTCATATCAGCAACCTCTTTTTTTAAATTCTTTTATTAAATGAAACTTATTGTGGTCACAATTCTCTCAGGTATTTAAAGACCAGATTTGAATCTGCATTAAAAAACTGGTTCTCAAAAGCTTAAATTACATCTTTATACATTGATCACACTTGCACCTTTTTATAACGGGGGTGGCTTGCCCCTTTCCAAACGTTCGACAAATTTTATATTATATTTAAAAAATTTCCTATAGGTGATGCATGTAAATTCGTCGTAGCCTTTTCATTTAGAGTGCAATTTGGAATCTGTATGAGAAATTGGACTTTATTTGCTGACTGTTCCTCGTTTTATAATCTACATTAGATACATTTGCATTCTGTGACAAAGGGGGCTCCTGTAGGTACTAATCAAACTAAGGTACGTAAAGTATGTACATATATTAATTCAACTTCACGTTTATATCTAGAATGAAGTTATCGATAAGATTGCAAACCGGAGAAGCTTGTTTTCTTAAAATTTTTCAACTTAATTGCAACCATGACATTTATAGACTTCTTTAATGGCATTAATAAGGCTTGGGCTTCGTCTCTTCTACAGCAATCAAGAAAAAGAAGCAGCCATAAATATGTTTTATAAACGATTTGCACCAAGAAAACATCTTACTAGGGTAAGTAATAGAGCTTTCTAGATATTTATAAGTACGAAATAAATTTTCAATATTAATCATTAAAGATTACTCCAAATTAATGAAGAAAAATTGTTGTTGCTGTCACGCTCTCGCCAGGAGTCGAACCCGGGCCCCTACTTATTAAGAGAGTACTGGTGAGCAAAAGCAGTCGCCCGGGTACAATTCCCGACTAGGGCGTATCAGCAGCAACAATTTTTCATCATTGATTTGGGGATATCTGTAGACGACTTAATGTTAGTTTCACTTTAATGTTTAATAGCTTTCTATACCTATATGTATACTGTATAGCATGTACCTATAATAAGTTGAAAATGTTATGAAGTCATTCCTACTTTATTGTTTTGGGGTACCTTAAGCATACCTCGGCAGCTAACTTGTTATGGGTCATATCTATAGTTTGCTATAAAAAAAAAAACAAAACATAAGCTTTAAACATTATATGTATTTATTAACAATATGGTATATTATAAACAATTTCTTTCAGATGCTGCATTCGAAACAAGTTGTCCTTACACAGAATATTTTCGACTGTCCTCTAGACATACATATGTATAAAAAAAGGTAGGATTTGACATTTTTTATTATCAATTGTAAAATAAAATCGTAATTGTTTTAAGGAGTAGATATTTCGAACATTTCGCCAACAGAGTTTTCTCTTATGTTCGCTGTTTTGGGCTGCAGCCTATGGAGGTGGACACTACAACGTTACTCCAGAATTGTCCTTTCCAGCTCATCGACACTACATTGGGAAATTTGCATTCAGGTAGGTAGGATTAATTTTTATTTTTTACTTGTCCTGTACTTAAATTTAATTTTTGTAAATATAATTCTGCCCTATTATTAAAACGAGTAGAAAGTTCCAAAATGACCTAAAGTTGTTCCAAGGCATCAGTGAATATAACTTAACTGTTAGAAATTACCTGGGTGCACTTCCAACCCCCAATTTAAGAACGTCGTTTTTAATTATGAATAAATTAATTTCTCCCTTATTAAACGAGCCGAAAGTTCCAAAATGACCTAAAGTTGTTCCAAGGCATCAGTGAATATAACTTAACTGTTAGAAATTACCTGGGTGCACTTCCAACCCCCAATTTAAGAACGTCGTTTTTAATTATGAATAAATTAATTTCTCCCTTATTAAACGAGCCGAAAGTTCCAAAATGACCTAAAGTTGTTCCAAGGCATCAGTGAATATAACTTAACTGTTAGAAATTACCTGGGTGCACTTCCAACCCCCAATTTAAGAACGTCGTTTTTAATTATGAATAAATTAATTTCTCCCTTATTAAACGAGCCGAAAGTTCCAAAATGACCTAAAGTTGTTCCAAGGCATCAGTGAATATAACTTAACTGTTAGAAATTACCTGGGTGCACTTCCAACCCCCAATTTAAGAACGTCGTTTTTAATTATGAATAAATTAATTTCTCCCTTATTAAACGAGCCGAAAGTTCCAAAATGACCTAAAGTTGTTCCAAGGCATCAGTGAATATAACTTAACTGTTAGAAATTACCTGGGTGCACTTCCAACCCCCAATTTAAGAACGTCGTTTTTAATTATGAATAAATTAATTTCTCCCTTATTAAACGAGCCGAAAGTTCCAAAATGACCTAAAGTTGTTCCAAGGCATCAGTGAATATAACTTAACTGTTAGAAATTACCTGGGTGCACTTCCAACCCCCAATTTAAGAACGTCGTTTTTAATTATGAATAAATTAATTTCTCCCTTATTAAACGAGCCGAAAGTTCCAAAATGACCTAAAGTTGTTCCAAGGCATCAGTGAATATAACTTAACTGTTAGAAATTACCTGGGTGCACTTCCAACCCCCAATTTAAGAACGTCGTTTTTAATTATGAATAAATTAATTTCTCCCTTATTAAACGAGCCGAAAGTTCCAAAATGACCTAAAGTTGTTCCAAGGCATCAGTGAATATAACTTAACTGTTAGAAATTACCTGGGTGCACTTCCAACCCCCAATTTAAGAACGTCGTTTTTAATTATGAATAAATTAATTTCTCCCTTATTAAACGAGCCGAAAGTTCCAAAATGACCTAAAGTTGTTCCAAGGCATCAGTGAATATAACTTAACTGTTAGAAATTACCTGGGTGCACTTCCAACCCCCAATTTAAGAACGTCGTTTTTAATTATGAATAAATTAATTTCTCCCTTATTAAACGAGCCGAAAGTTCCAAAATGACCTAAAGTTGTTCCAAGGCATCAGTGAATATAACTTAACTGTTAGAAATTACCTGGGTGCACTTCCAACCCCCAATTTAAGAACGTCGTTTTTAATTATGAATAAATTAATTTCTCCCTTATTAAACGAGCCGAAAGTTCCAAAATGACCTAAAGTTGTTCCAAGGCATCAGTGAATATAACTTAACTGTTAGAAATTACCTGGGTGCACTTCCAACCCCCAATTTAAGAACGTCGTTTTTAATTATGAATAAATTAATTTCTCCCTTATTAAACGAGCCGAAAGTTCCAAAATGACCTAAAGTTGTTCCAAGGCATCAGTGAATATAACTTAACTGTTAGAAATTACCTGGGTGCACTTCCAACCCCCAATTTAAGAACGTCGTTTTTAATTATGAATAAATTAATTTCTCCCTTATTAAACGAGCCGAAAGTTCCAAAATGACCTAAAGTTGTTCCAAGGCATCAGTGAATATAACTTAACTGTTAGAAATTACCTGGGTGCACTTCCAACCCCCAATTTAAGAACGTCGTTTTTAATTATGAATAAATTAATTTCTCCCTTATTAAACGAGCCGAAAGTTCCAAAATGACCTAAAGTTGTTCCAAGGCATCAGTGAATATAACTTAACTGTTAGAAATTACCTGGGTGCACTTCCAACCCCCAATTTAAGAACGTCGTTTTTAATTATGAATAAATTAATTTCTCCCTTATTAAACGAGCCGAAAGTTCCAAAATGACCTAAAGTTGTTCCAAGGCATCAGTGAATATAACTTAACTGTTAGAAATTACCTGGGTGCACTTCCAACCCCCAATTTAAGAACGTCGTTTTTAATTATGAATAAATTAATTTCTCCCTTATTAAACGAGCCGAAAGTTCCAAAATGACCTAAAGTTGTTCCAAGGCATCAGTGAATATAACTTAACTGTTAGAAATTACCTGGGTGCACTTCCAACCCCCAATTTAAGAACGTCGTTTTTAATTATGAATAAATTAATTTCTCCCTTATTAAACGAGCCGAAAGTTCCAAAATGACCTAAAGTTGTTCCAAGGCATCAGTGAATATAACTTAACTGTTAGAAATTACCTGGGTGCACTTCCAACCCCCAATTTAAGAACGTCGTTTTTAATTATGAATAAATTAATTTCTCCCTTATTAAACGAGCCGAAAGTTCCAAAATGACCTAAAGTTGTTCCAAGGCATCAGTGAATATAACTTAACTGTTAGAAATTACCTGGGTGCACTTCCAACCCCCAATTTAAGAACGTCGTTTTTAATTATGAATAAATTAATTTCTCCCTTATTAAACGAGCCGAAAGTTCCAAAATGACCTAAAGTTGTTCCAAGGCATCAGTGAATATAACTTAACTGTTAGAAATTACCTGGGTGCACTTCCAACCCCCAATTTAAGAACGTCGTTTTTAATTATGAATAAATTAATTTCTCCCTTATTAAACGAGCCGAAAGTTCCAAAATGACCTAAAGTTGTTCCAAGGCATCAGTGAATATAACTTAACTGTTAGAAATTACCTGGGTGCACTTCCAACCCCCAATTTAAGAACGTCGTTTTTAATTATGAATAAATTAATTTCTCCCTTATTAAACGAGCCGAAAGTTCCAAAATGACCTAAAGTTGTTCCAAGGCATCAGTGAATATAACTTAACTGTTAGAAATTACCTGGGTGCACTTCCAACCCCCAATTTAAGAACGTCGTTTTTAATTATGAATAAATTAATTTCTCCCTTATTAAACGAGCCGAAAGTTCCAAAATGACCTAAAGTTGTTCCAAGGCATCAGTGAATATAACTTAACTGTTAGAAATTACCTGGGTGCACTTCCAACCCCCAATTTAAGAACGTCGTTTTTAATTATGAATAAATTAATTTCTCCCTTATTAAACGAGCCGAAAGTTCCAAAATGACCTAAAGTTGTTCCAAGGCATCAGTGAATATAACTTAACTGTTAGAAATTACCTGGGTGCACTTCCAACCCCCAATTTAAGAACGTCGTTTTTAATTATGAATAAATTAATTTCTCCCTTATTAAACGAGCCGAAAGTTCCAAAATGACCTAAAGTTGTTCCAAGGCATCAGTGAATATAACTTAACTGTTAGAAATTACCTGGGTGCACTTCCAACCCCCAATTTAAGAACGTCGTTTTTAATTATGAATAAATTAATTTCTCCCTTATTAAACGAGCCGAAAGTTCCAAAATGACCTAAAGTTGTTCCAAGGCATCAGTGAATATAACTTAACTGTTAGAAATTACCTGGGTGCACTTCCAACCCCCAATTTAAGAACGTCGTTTTTAATTATGAATAAATTAATTTCTCCCTTATTAAACCAGCTGAAAGTTCCAAAATGACCTAAAGTTGTTCCAAGGCATCAGTGAATATAACTTAACTGTTAGAAATTACCAGGGCGCACTTTCAACCCCCAATTTAAGAACGTCGTTTTTAATTATGAATAAATTAATTTCTCCCTTATTAAACAAGTTGAAAGTTCGAAAATGACCTAAAGTTGTTCTAAGGCATCAGTGAATATAAATTAACTGTTAGAAATTACCGGGATGCACTTTCAACCCCTAATTTAAAAACGTCCTTAAAAGTGTCATACACTTTTCGCGAGTCTACTCTAGCGTTAGTTCCTTTCAGATAGGGTACAGTGGGTTATCTGGAATAGGAACAATAGGCATAATAGGCAATAATACCAAAGCTATTAGTATTTGGCGTTAGTCCTGTTAATTTGAACTATTTGCTTTCAGATAATGACGTATTTCCTAGGAAGAACGAAGACATCAGTTTCTTTTTTGCTTTTTATTGTATTTTTTTTGAAATTTCATGTGTTTTGTTTTTTACTGCATAAACTGTTATATCTTTATAATCATAACTTAGGTTGATATTTAAAATGTTTCTGAATTGATTTTTTGGTGTAATTGTTAAATTAAATTAATTATTTGTTTACGCTTTCAAAATTAATGTTTTGTGTGGATAGGGTGGCTACAAGGGGCTCCTTGAAATTTTATAGATTTTTTTGTCTCTTACAGGTATTTTATTTTTAACTTTTATAAGTCGTTAGAATGTATTATATCTTAGATAGATT